TAAAAATGAGTTTAAAATCCTAAACATTCCTAAACTTATAATTTATGAGAAAAATTTATTATTTAACCCTTATTATATACGCATGTTAAATAGAGGTTATTGTTACAGGGCTATCACTCTCTTTCTAAAAAGCTAGTTCATTGGGATGTGCAACGCACCCATTATATATATAGCCAAGACCCCCATATTCCTATGATATGGGACCTGACAGCTCCCCCGACTAATCCATGGCACCCCTTTCATCGGTCTAGCTCTAATACCACTTTGCCATAAGGCCATTACTCTTTCTCCAAAAAGCTAGCTCATTTGATTGTGCAGTACACCCGCTTATATAATCAAGATCCTCTCTAAATCTCTCTAATATGGGACCTGACATTATGCTCCAAACTATCGTATTTTATAAAAATACATCCATAAATAAATGGGCTTGCATTTCTTTTGATTAGCTTTTTATTTCTCTTTTGTTTTTAACTTCTTTGAATATATGTCATTTCCAGTGGCAAACGCTAGACTAGGAGGTGGATAATAAAGCACATTGCATCACTACTACAAAATCATGTATACAAAAAACCGTCTTATATCCAGCATGCAGACTATTGGGCACGTTTCTTTAAAAATTTTAAAAACTATATAGGACAATTGTATAAAGAACCGTCCTCTATATTGAAATTATAAAGGACGGTTCCAGGCTTAACCGTCCTCTATTTGATTTTGATTTTCACAATTTTTTTAAAAAAAACATAAACTTATGGAGGACAATTATCATATGTAACCATCCTCTATGTGGTTACTATAGAGGACGGTTTTCATTTCAATGGTCCTATAAAGAAACCCTTTAACAGACCTGCTGTTTTGGTTCTTCGATCATTTTCGTTCGCTATAAAATTAGAATCACTCGCATTCGTCATTACTCTCAGAAACCCAGAACCCCATCATCATTTTTGTCAGAAACCTGGAACCAAAACCCACTAATCCTTCAAGTTCATCTTCATTTGGTCCGTGAGTTCCAAAACTTTGTGTTCGTCTTTAGCAGTAACTTCTTGGCTTCAATTCATTGTAAGCTCCTTCGACTTCTTGGATGTGCTCTATGTGTTTGTCTATGCTCGAATTAACTGGCAATTTTGTCACTCTACTACTCACTTCTGAATTTATTGGGATGATATTTGGGAAGAAAAGAGATTAGATTTATAGATTGAACGTTGATGCACATAAGGTGTTTGATAAAATGTTTGAAAGGAGAAAATTTGAACGTTATAAGCTCAAGAATTAGACAAAAAATAAAAATAAAAACCAGTTAGTTGGCTAAACAATTCTGCTTAAACTAAGCTTCAAATTAAACCAGAATCACAAAGCTTGAAACTCAGAATTGTGCTTGTGCCTATGTATCTCGTCTTCTTCCTTCCTCCCTCATGCTCGTGCTGCAACTGCTTCACCTAAATTTTTTTATTCTATTTTCTAAATTCTATCATGCATTTAGTGTTCATTATTTTTTTCTTTTTAATTTTCTTGTGGGCAGCTTTAATTCTTACTTGTGGTTGCCTTTCAAGCTTTAATCCTTACTTCCATGTCCTGCTTTAAGCTTTATAGGTACTTTAAGCTTTGTTTTGGTTTAATTTATGGATTAAATTTCGCAAGCTTCATCTTGAATTTGCTTCTATGACTTTTTGTGAGCTTAATGTTGATTTTAAATTAAAAAAAATAAAGCTTGCGACCTTTAATGATTGAATTCTAGGAAGTGCATTCAAATTTTTGTACCAAATCAAAGAACTTTGTAATAAAAAAAATTGCATATCACCAAAAACAATTGTCATATGTAACTAAAAGTGTAGAATATGAAGAGAGGATTAAGTAGGGGTGTTCACGGGATGGGACGGGATCGGGACACCCTCGTCCCGTGTCCTATCTCGAAAAAAAAATTCGGACTGAATTTTGATCCCGTGTCCCGTCCCGTCCCGTCCCGAAAGTCGTCTCGTCCCGTTAAGAGTCAGGACAGGATCGGGACAAGATCGGGACGTCCCGTCGTCCCGATAAATGGAATAATGTCGAAAAAAGATCTGGGTAATAACGTTCATTAAAATTTTAAATCATATAATTTGTTAAGTTTAAAATCAAAACAATACAAGCACATAAATAACAATAACTTAAAATTAGTTATTGAATTATATTAATCACAACTACATATTATAATAACAAATATAAGTGATCTTTATGCTATAAGATTAGGAACAACAGGCAAGTCAAACACAACATCAAATCATTGTTCTTCTACTTTAATGAAGATGTACTAAGCTAATTACTCTTCTAAAAATAAGCAAGAAATATGTTATAAATAAAAGTTATTAAATAGATAGATATAAGAATAAATTATATTAATATAATTAATATATTATAAAGAAAGATATCGCCATGTTTACTACATGCCATTAAAATTATCAATATAAAAAAACTTTAGTTTTAAATAAGAATTGCAAGTATTAAAATTATAATTGATATACTTAATATAAGTATAAATTATATTAATATAATTAATATATTTAAAATAAAAATAATATATATATATATATATATATTCGGGACGGGACGGGATGTCCCAATGGTAATCCCGTGTCCCATCTCGTCCTGCAAAGTCCGTCCCGATTATTTTCGGGCCGAGATAAGACCCATCCTGATATGATCGGGACGATACCGAGCCAATTGGGACGGGTCCAGACTGAACACCCCTAGGATTAAGTACCCAATATAGTCCTAATTTTAAGTCGTTATGCTACTAAATTTTTATTTAAAAGTACTAACAACTAGTTAACAATCTTAAACAAAAAAAATATGGCCTTTAGACATACACTTTTAACCCACGGGTTTGGTTTTTCCATTTTACTTTTCTCAAACTATTCATCTTAATATTTTTTTATTCAATAGTATCATTTACTATCAATCTTTGACTCGTTCAAGAGAGGGGTTTGAGTTGTTGTTATTTATGATTAAATTGGGTTAAAATTAGATTATATAGCAATGAGTTTAAGTATGAAGAGAGGGCTAAGTGCTTGGGAAAGTTTCAATTTTAAACTATTATAGTGCCAAATTTTCTTTTAAGAGTACTAACAACTAGTTAGTATTCTAAAATAAAAATTGTGGCTTATTAGACAACTAAAAGAACTGTAAGTCAAAATACACTTAAATTTATTTTTAATGGTGGAGATTTTTTATTAGGAATTCCCACTATTTTTAATCAAGTAGTTCATGAGTAATGCATTGATGAGTTAATAGTTAATTTATTATCTTGCACTTACGATGATTGAGCCACTCGTCACATGTCCCTTAATAATTTTTTATAGATTTAAGATTATGGATAAAGAATGGATGTCTGCAAATCAACGATCGAGGGAATATATGGAGGGGGTTACCACTTTATTAAGGTTGGTGTTGAGTATGAGGGAGGCAGTAAGAGCATTGTGTGCTCTTATCTAAGATGGAGACTTACGAGGTGGGTTAATGCACGGGAATTGGAAGACTCATGGACTTAGAAAGTCAACCTCAGAGCCTTCAAAAAGATAGTTGCACCGTGCTTCAGTCTTCTCCTCATCATCTCCCAGAGGTATTTAAATTATTTTACTTTCTTAATTGTAGCCCACAATTATTATTTCCTTATTAACTTATATTTCTTTTATGTTCAAGGTGAGGCCAAGTATTCATTCCAGGCCGAGAGCCTAGGTAGACATAGAGTTGCACAATGTCCCGAGGCAACAAGTTCACAATGAGCTTGTGCCTGAGGGGTGGATCAAAGGGCTAATTATCAAGCCTAATGATGCCAATTACAAGCTGCTCAAACAAAACTATGAGTTAAAAATTATAGCAGACGCGATTGGCTCTTATATTGTATGGTCCAAGCATCTTGTTTGCTTAGGAGCAGAAGAAACTCCACCATAGTTATGTCATTAATTTGCATTATCTTAATTCAAATTCAAGTTACAGTCAATTAAAATTCAAATTCTAATAATTGATGTTAATTGGCACTTAGTCCAAGGGGAATGACCCCCCAAACAATCAGGTCAGCTATCAAAGATCAGAAAACAATCAACCTCTAAGCCAACACCAGTAGATGTTGCTCCTCCTTTGCCAAATATAAATCAAAATATGCTAGCAAAGTATGCGTGATTGACCAAGAACACAGTAGTGCAGTTTGTACTGCCAAATGATAGCATGTATTAAAAAGCGGTTAGTGAGATTGTTGACTTTAACATTGTCAATACTGGCCTGACGTGCAATAAGGTCGTCCATAGCCTAGTGAACATTTATATAAGGTACTTAATTACTTTTCCTATTCATATATCTAGATTATAGTTTTTATTCATATTTACTTCTGTCAATTTCTTCATTCAGGTACTTGTATAATCCCTTCATCATTCTTGGTAACTTTGGATCAAGGTTTGTGTTTGTCAATCCCCATGAGTTCTTAAGTTTTGAAGGCGGTCAGAAGGATAAGTGTTTACAGTAGCAATCTCAAACATTGACCATGTACTTTAAGGAAAGACTGGCTTCAAAGGAAATGTTATTTTTGATTTCTTATCTTAATGGGTTAGTTACTTGGTTTTCTAAAACCTTTATTGCATTTTATTGTCTTTCTCAAATTTCAATTATAACATACATCATCCAATTCTCCTAGGGGACACTGGATGCTTATTATGATTGAGCCAACATATCCTAAAGCTCCAAAGGTATACTATTTGGATTCAGCTCCTCATGATGGGGATCCAACTAAACGATCGGATATGATGGAGCTATTTAATAGACAAGTTTATTTAGTAACTAATATTTTATTTATTTCTAAAATTCTACATTTCTAACATGTTTGTTGTAATGACCCAAAAAAAAGAAAATTACCAAAGTACCTATGATTTTTATGTTATTAGAGGAAAGTGCTGTGCTTTTTTTTTGTAATTTTTGCGATTTACTAATGATTCAAGCCTTTATTCCCTTTTCTCTCGGTCAGATCACGTGAGAGAGAAAAATTTCCCCCTGTTCTTCGAAAACTCTAGAACCAGCGAGTATGAGAGGGAGATTCAGACAGAAACTCCTTCGATCTTCCCTCTTCTTCTTCCTCGTTCATTAAGATTGAGGCCAGCGAACCTAGTCGTCGATGAGAGCAGGAGCTTTGCTCACTGCTACTGTAACGTCCACTGGAAACCCCTGCGTTGAGGTGCAGATCGCTAAACCAAGGCTCCCGTGTTGAGCGTCCAAGCTCCTCCTCTTTCCCTTTTCTTCTTTTCGTCAATCATCATGAGGCTTCCTTCTCCGTCAGTCAGTTCGCCGTCGATAGGTGTGTGAATTCCAGCCATCGCCATCAAGTCTTCATCTTCTCTGTTCGGACGTCGGGTTCCTCTTTCCTCTTCGAGCAGCAGCAATAATCTGGTGCGTAACCTTTCTGGTGTGGATGTTGGGTGCATCAGACTTTTCCCTCCCTTATTTCAATGTTGACTGCCTCTCTTCTCCTTCCTCATATCCACGCGGTGACACTTTCTTCTCCATATGGTTCTGAATCCGCTGATTTGTGTGTACCGTTAGAGCTTTAAGCTTTGCCTTTCATTTGTTTCAACTGATCAGGTGAGTAAATCTCACCTCTTTCTTCCTTTCTTGATCTGTCTATTTGCACATAGGTGGTTTATGGCTAAAGCTGTGAGTATTGCTTCCTTGTTGCTGCGTGCATACCAATTTGGGTTGAAATTGTGAATTTTTCTCTATTTTTCTGCAAACTGTGAGTAATGTGCAAGGCTGAAAATTTGATTTTTCTTGAGTATTAAAAATTTATAATCACTGAAAGATTTAAATCGAAGAGTTGGATTATTTCAATTATAGATATTAGAAAATTTGGAAAATGAAATTTGAAGAAAAGGAAGTTTGGAAGTTGTCAAAGGACTCATGCTCATAATGTGTTTGATAAGTTGCCTTTGAGAGAGTCTTGCTCGATTTTTATGTTTTTGAAGTTTCATTAATCATTGTGAGGAGTATATTTAGTTTGGGTGTTATTAATTCATGAATTTAACTTGTAAGTTGCAAGTTAAAAGAATTGGATTATGAATTTGCATGTAACTACTTAAATTCTTGAGGATAGTATGGTAATTTATAGTTACTGGATAAAAGATGGAAGGTTAGAAAATTCTATTTGTATGGTTGAACATAATGTACCTAAAGTGTTTGATGCAAAGCCTAAGAAAAATTTTTATCTCAAATAAATAGGTTGGTATGGCTAAAGAATTATATAAGAAATTGGTGACTTGAATGGTAATATTTGGACATTGTTATTTGTAAATTTAATTGAGTTCTTACAAGAGAGTTTATTTAAGAAGTTGTTGAAGTCTTATTTGAGTTTTGGACTATTAAGAGTTGCAAAATTGAAAGGTTATAAAGTACATTATCATTTTAGAAGTTATACTTGGATGCTTAGAAATGGATAGGCAATAGAATTAAAGGTTTTGTGTTTTATTGAATGGTTTGGAATGTCACACATTAAATGTTTGGTAGAAAGCCTAAGAAGAAATCTTTATGAATGAATTGTGTTCTTAGAACTTCAAAATTATTAGTGTTAACTTTAGTTGAATGGATTCTCTCGAAATGGAATCTTGTTGGTTAAAAATAAATAAATAAATAAATAAAGTCCATTAAAGTATTATTATTATATATTATAGGATGTTTGGAAGGAGGGAAGCTCAAATAGAGTCATAAGAAATGAGTTTGGAGCCTTGAGGATACTACAGGTAAGTGAATAGCGTCCCAACTGATTTTTTTTATCCAAATTTTCTTTACTAAAATATTACATTTTTCCAGAAATCATTTTAAATGCATTAATGTGATTATTGAATATTTGTTGATTAACATTTCTTTATTTTGAGATATTAGCTTTACCAAATTTGAAATGTTATTTGATCAATTAAGTCAAGTTTGAACTTTGATTATGAGATTTTCATTTTATCAAATATTGGATTGATATAGAGAATGATTCATACGAGTTCGACATTGAAATTTTGTTTATTCAATAAATGCAAGCATGAGTATCAGATATGAAATTTGATTCTAGTAAGTTTTAATGCTTAAAAGTATTCATGCGAGTTCGATTTTAAGAATGAGGACTGTATCATGAAAGTGATGATTTTCTCGCATGTTGAAAAATGATTTTAAAAGGAGATTTTATACAGAACACTGGTTGCTAACGGCAGTTCCGTTAGCCCTTGGCGTGCCATGGTACACCTAGCTAGCAGGGTGTTTATAGGAGGTGCTAACCCCGTGCGATGGCCAACGCACGTGGAATGGAGGGATGATTATTCGTGAGCATCGTACTCACGTTTGTTTCATGGCTTCAAGCTACGTTTGGTTAGCATTACCTTCGTGGACTGTGTCCACGTTTGTTTCGTGGCTTCAGCTGCATTTGATTACTTACCTTCGTGAATTGTGTGTCCACGTTGGTCTTCGTGGCAAGAGCCACGTTTGGTTATTTATCCTCGTGGGCTTTGTGTCCACGTTTGTTAATTGTTTTGATAAATCCCTGTAATATGAACTTGATTATTTGATGATTTTACATTCCATTGGTTTTTAATTAGTGAATTATTTATAATTATTTATTTTATTTATTTATTTTCTTGCAATTAAGTGATAATAATACTTGATATGAGATTTTAACAGTTTAAGATTTTATTTAAGTTTTATAAAATTCTTTTATTTTTGAAGTTTATTAGATTTTTATGAAAATCGTTGCCTCTTTGAATTGCATAATTGTTTCAAACTTTCCTTTTATTCATGTTCAATTATTTATTATTGGGACGTTATTCATTGGAAAAGATATTTTGGTCTCAGATTATATAGTTGAACTCGTGACTCAAGATATCCACAAAGGAGTTTTATTGTTGAGTTGAAGTAGAAGAATTATTTTAGTCAAATTTTAATTTGATAAAGAATTTGAACTTATACCTATGTTGGCATCTGGTATTAGGTGCTCCACATAGACTACAGGTAGGATCCTCACAGTTCTTTTAAAATTGAATATCTGATTTAATATTGTAAAAATCTTTAATTACTCTATTAGTGTGTTTAACGTATTAATTTTAAAGTTTCTCCGATTACGGCTTAAGGGATATGACTTTTGTACCCATATCCCGTGCCAGTCATACCTAATTTTGGGGTGTGACATTTGTCTACCGCATATTAGGGCTATTGTACTATATCACATCGATGCAAATCTTCTAAACAAGAGATCATTCAAGGAATACAAGGATGCTATGGAATGAAATATAATACAGGTATCTTTATATTACTGCCAATTACTCAATTTTTTTCATTTTTAATGTCAATAGCATATATATTTATGGTTTTCTTCATGTAGTGCCCCTGACAAATCAAGAACAATTATGATTGCGGCTACTGTGTGATGAGGTATGCTAAAGACATTGTCACTCACGGGCAGGCTACAATCCCCCTCACGGTATCTATAATTTATGTAATATTTTTTTATATTATAATGAATATTAATTGTCATCAACTAACTTCATTTTTATGTATGTTGTAGTACTATCCAGATTGTGCTACACCTCATTTTGATGATACCCAAATTAATGAAGTTCTCAAATAGTGGAGTAAATATGTATATGAAAATTAGGTCACATCCAATATGAGGTGATAATATATAGTTAGTCTAGGACTAAATTAGTTTAGTTGTCAATATATAGTTTAGATATAATTTAGGGATTGGTATTTTACCTCAAATTAATTGATTTATATCATTGAATTTTAAATTCAATACTTTTGATGTAATTAAATTGTAAATATTATAGTTTTTAATTAAATAGGGTATATCTTTTAGGCTGTTCTAGAGTATTATTGAGTATATATATTTTTTTATTGCAAGGAGGCTGCTAGAAAAGTAGCTAACCCTATTTAAAAAAAACATGACATTAGAGGATGGTTATATTAGATAACCATCCTATATTTGTTTTATAGAGGACGGTTGTTACCATAACCATCCTCTATATAACAAATATAGGATGGTTATCTAATATAATCATCCTCTAAGGCTTATCTATTTTCAGTTTTGACCAAAATTTAAAGGTTATATAGGATCATTATTTAAAAACCATCCTCTATTTATCTTTAATATATGACCATTTTATAACCATCCTATATGTCTTAGCAATAGAGGACGGTCGAATAGAGGATCGTTGTCAACCGTCCTCTATGGTCAGATCTATTGTAGTGCATATAATTATATAATTTTTATCAAACAGATTGCATAAATTTTAATAATTAGATTTGGTAGATAATCATTTTAATAAGTTTATCTTAATTTATTATTTTTAAAAATTATATTTTTCAAGGAATTGATAATTTTCTCTAAAAAATAATTTCATTTTCCTTTCAAAATTCTTAAAATTTGCAATCTACTAATTAAAAATTAATTGGAAGTGAGATTGAAAGATTAGATTATATCTTAAGTGAAAAAATTTAAATATATTTGAAAGCTATTATTCAATATTATGAGAAAATTGATGGGTATGCTACATACGGGATACAAGATGGCTAGTTTAATTAGAAAAAAGTTAAATGAGTTATTTGTGATCAAAATATATTAAATAAACATAAAAGGAACTTTTATCAAATAGTTGTTATGTTATACGATAATGAATGTTAAGCTTTAAAAGGATAGCATGAACATAAAGTTGGAGTAACATAAATAAAAATGTTGAAATGGACATGCAAATATATATATATATATATATGAAAGTATAAAATCTAAAATAAGCATATATGAGAAAAAGTGAGCGTGGCATCTATTGAGAAAAAAATGATAGTAAATTGTTTGAAAAGATTTGGACATATATAGAGAAGGTTGTGAGAGGCATCGGTAAGGAGAGTAGAATGAATAATCTTAAATCCTATAAAGAAAGGTAGAAAAAGACTAAAGAGGACAGTTACAGAAGTTGTTAAACAAAACTTTTTAATTAACAATATTTTTAAAATCTCGGTTAATGATAAAGTATAATAGTATTGTACAATTTATATAGCTAACTCCATTTAATGGGATAAAGCTTGTTGTTAGTGTTGTTGTTTACTAATTAAAAATCACATTTTAACATGAAAAATGATTGTAATAATTAGAAATAATTAAGATTATCATAAATTTAAAAACATATTTTAAACAAAGGTGCATAACAAAATAAATGATTTTATGGAATAAAAGTATACAAAGTAAATAAAAAAAATTGTATTGAAAATAAAGATTAAAATATTTTATTTTGTTATAATATATTTTTGTATAAACTTTAAATTTGTTGATGCAAAGAAACTATATATAAGGATTGTCAAATAATATCATTATATATATATAAGTAGGGTTAAAAGTTATAACAAAATATCACATGTCCATTTTTAGGTTTGTTACAATTTTATACTTTGGATGTCTTTCCAGTGATTCTGTACTCTGGAGTCAGATTTGGATTTAAATTCTAAATTTTTTATTGTCTTTTAATGTATACAAAATATATTATTCAGGTTTGGAGTTAAGTGCGAGATGAATTATTAATTTTTAAATATATACAAAAATTATTTAGATTCAAATTAACATGTATCTATTCAAAGTTTTCTTTCACCCTAAAGATATGTTGAAAATTATTATTTTATTTTTTTCATACAATTCTAAAATTATATTTCATTAAAATTCATTTGCCATGTTTGTGGAGTATATTTTTTAAAAATATCTATCTATTTGAATCTAAATTAATATATATATATATATATATATTTAAAAAAATAATTTGTGTTTAAATTTTTTTATCTATCCTAATTGTAACATCCCAAAAATTAACCTAAGGTTAATTAAATTAATTTAGAGTAAATGATTAATTTTGGAGGAATATTTTGATTTAAATAATTTTAGTTAGAAGATTATTATTGAATTTAATTTAGATTAAATCCTAAGTTATGATTTTATAGAAAATAGAAATACTAATAATAATATTATAAAAAAAAAGAAAGAAAGAAGAAGGAAAAGGAACATAAAAAAAATTGAAGGGGGAAAGTAATTTTTGCTTTCATGTGTGTGTTGATGTGTAAATAGTGCAAAAAGAAAAAGAAGGAACGAATTTGTGTGTTTGCAAATTTAAGAAAACAAGAGAGAGAGAGAGAGAGGCATGAATTTTACATGAAGCCTACTCTTTGTTTTAAAACCAATAGACTTCTCTTGCCTTTTTCATTTCTCTTCCCTTTTCTTCATTCCTTCTTCTGTGCACAAAGAGCAATCGACACTGCAAATGGAGTTGATTTAGAAGGTGAAGCTCCATAATAGAATATTTTAAATAAGATTTTAAGTATTTTAAGACTAGATAAGTGTTTTAAATATTTTTCTTAGTCGTTTTTTCCCTTGAGATTGTAGATTTTAAGATTTTGAAAAAAACCTAAGGTTTGAAAGAGGGATAAATTTTTGATGGGTAAATCTGGTCATTGAGGTTATTGGTAGTGTAATAAATATTCTAGAATATTATTTTATTAATAGGATTGAAATTTGAGGCCTTTGAGTTTATCCCTAAATCTCTGTTGGTAGATTTTGGTTAAATCTGAAAATATAAATTAATTTATTGATATTTAGATGATTATTTGAGATGAAAAATAAATTATTATGGCTATAGAATAATTATTCTAAGCTTGAAATCAAGTTTGCAAATTTTGGATATTTTTATTTGCGAATTTTTGGAATAAAAAGGAAAATTTTGATATTAAAAAATTATTTGAATGATGTTTTTAGCCAAATTTCAATGAAATTATTGTAAAGGAGACTATTGAACAAAGTAGATAGGTTCAAATATATAAAATTAAATTTGAGAACTCAAGAGGCTAAGATTAAAGTCTTAAAAAAATAAAATAAAGTAAAATAAATACTTAAGTGTTAGAGTATGAGTGAAAATTGTGTTAATAACATTATTAACACATTGGGAAATAATCAATTGTAGATTAATTTTATTTTGACACCTTTCAAATTTGAAAAGCTTTGAAAATGTTGTAACTTAAGGGGTAACCTTTAACCTCTCAAAGGTTGAGGTAATCAGGGAAAATCTATTTTATACATTTGCATGTTAATTAATTAATTATGTTAGTGAAAAAAAGAATATATATATATATATATATATATATATATATTTTGAAATGGTTATTTGTAATGCATGTGGCCTTGTTGAGACTCTATGATTTGTGACCAAGTTAATTGTAACTTGGTATGAGTAATGAGATTGATAGTTGATGATGATGTGTACATTCTTGGTTATAAATTATGGATTATATATAGTGATGAATTGTATATGCTAATGTGGTTTATCTATTAATATAAAATTGATGCAAGAGGCATGATTGAAAAATGATGAGTCTTGATACTTATTGAGCAAAAAAGTTAATGAGCATGTGGGATAATTATGAATTATATATATATATATATATATGAGCTTTTGAAATGCATTTTCTCATGAGCATGATCATATGACGAGAGTTTGCCTTAGTGAAGGAGTTAGCAGTTATGCAAAATCCATATGATACTTAGCTATTAACCAATAATCATAGAGGTTATAGCCACTACTTATCTTGTAAGCTACTATAGCATTGTTCCTATTAAGGAACTTGATCCTACTAGCCTACCTAGAGTTTTGGATAAAGCTAGTTTTGGGTATGACACTCCATAATGTGTGATTTAGGAAAAATCATGTTCATAAGTGTGTAAGGTAACCTTGGCCCGATAGCCCCTCACGATATGATTAAGGTCTTGGGTAGTCTCCCTTCCGTTGTTCGCCCATGGATTTCATGTCAGAGGAAATAAAGGGAAATATAAAGAAGAGATTGATCATGCTTATTATTATCATCATGCCATTTGAGTGATTGATAGCTATGTTGAGAATATGATTATAATTGCAGAAATGAGAACATGTAGTAATTATGCGAACAATGTATATGTAGCCATTTGTATAAATTTTGTATTTGACTTTATTCTTGAGATTATTCACATAAGTTAAATGTTAATGTGATTAACATGTTATTAATGTAATTGTTTACATGGTCACCTTAATAAATTTATTGGCTATTTGCATTCATAATTAATTATCATGCATTTGTATAACTTAGATGTATCTTGGTTACTGAGTGATTGTACTCACTCCTCTCTTTTAACATATTATAAGAGCTAGTTCATCTCAGAAGAATAGAGGAAAGGAGCATTAGGCCAAGTGATAATAATCACTTTTACAAGCCTTTCTCTTTTTATTTTGACATGTGTATTTAGTTTATGATATTGTCAACTAGGATAATATATTTTTGATCCACTTGCATTATGGGTTTTGTGTTGGGTGGAAATGTATTTTGGGCTATTAGGAATGTAGTTTGATACCTGTGTTTATATTAATGGACCAAAATATTTGTGCAAGTAAAAATAGTTATTATCTACTTAATTTGATAACTTGAATGTTGTTATGGCCTCTCCTTGTGTTTTTGATGTCCAAGGGTAAATAGTTGATATTAATTATATATGAATGAAAAGGAAAAACTCATAAATATGATAGGCTATTGATAAATAGATTATACATAGAATATGATAACTATGTAATTATCATTGTGATAAATGTGATTGAGATCTTGGCCCCCGCCTGCCAGTTATGGAAGGGTTTGAGTAGCCAAATATTATGTTGTAAATATGTATATATGTATTGTGGAGTAAGGCATAAAGAGAAAATAAAGAGGAAAGCTTTTCTCCCATGTTAATGTGTTTCCTTTATCATACTTCCGCATATGTCTAATTGAATGAGATGAGTTCTTGAAATATT